AAGGGAGTTCATTCCAGGCATTTAAAGGAGAACTATGAGGTGAGTGCTTTTCACTCACCTCATAGTTCTAGCCGACCTGTGACAATGAGACTGTCACAGGTCGGCTCAGTAGATCGGGAGGTGAGCGAACACATACGCTGGATTCCCCTCTCCCCGCTCCGATCCGCCAGCGCTGACTGGCGGAACGGACGGGGGAGGGGGCGGGTACAGCTGGCTCTGCCTCTAGATAGGCAGAGCCAGCTGTCACTCACGCAGCTGGGCGGATCCCGTCATCTAAGTCGTGATCCGCTCCGGCTGCGGCGTCTCAGTATACCGCGAGCTGTAGCTCGCGGTATACTGAGCTTAGGGTAACGGGAGGACGCTAGTTTGTGTCCTCCCGTTACCCTAAGGAGAACTATGGGGAAAAACACTGACCCCATAGTTCTCCTTTAAACATCATGGGAGGCTTCTGCCTTGACAGAAAGGTAAGTATGCACCAGGTTGGGGAGGTTTTAGTTTAGATTAGGCTAGGGTACCAGGGAACTTGGTCTGGGTATTTTTTTTAGGAAAATTGTATTTGTATCTGAAAGCCATGGCTTAAAATGCCCCACCAATAAGCCAGCAGTTTTATTCTGATTCTCACAGGTTGAGAACCTTAGACATACTATGTACGACTAGGGATGCACAGATACTTTTCGAGTACCAGTGCAGATACTTGGCATTTTCATGAGAACTACCAGGGTTGCAGCGGTTGCAGCTGGGACTTGGCTCTGGCACTCCACCACTGTCCTGAAATCATTAGTCTGTATTGTTTTAGAAAAACTGTCACATGACAATAAACAAAAATGTATCAGTACTCGTACTTGTAAGTACTCAGCAAGTACCAGTACTCGTACTCGCAAAACTGGTATCTGTGCATCCCTTTATTTATATTTATAAAAACAAAATCATACATTAAAACAGAGATGTACTAATCCCAGGAGCTCCGTGTGCTCCTTACAAATGACATCTGCCTCCTAATTTTTGAATTTTTCTCTAGTCTAGTCTTGGAGCTCAAAAGTATCGGTACATGTACTCGTACTTGTACCGAGTACTGTACTTGGTATCTGTGCAACCCTAAATTGTACGCCCCTTAAAAAATTCACCATAGTATGCAGAGCATACATAGCACACCCTGTCCCTCTTCCCCGCTGCAGCTCCCACCCCACCACTTTTACCAGCCCTGGTCTTTAAAAAGGAGCTTATCAAAAGGGGTGATCTTTGATTTACATACGATGCTAGTTACTGTACATAAATAAAATAATCAAATAACATTTGTTCACATTTAGCCCCTTATAAAACCTTAGTTAACTACAATCATCCCTAATTAAGGTGACACTAAACTCAGGAGTTTAATCTTAAAAATGTATGTAAGTACCTTCACTATTAACTTAAAGGAGAACTATGGGGTTAGGGCTTTTCCCCATAGTTCTCCTTTAACTCAACTATTAACAATACTGGACCTTATTTGTGCATCACTCAGGTGTAGATCCTCAGATCATCTCTGAAATTTGTGGACACTCTCCTCTTCCTTCTGGAGGGTGGTTACTTTTGTTCCCCATGGTCCCTGTGTGTGTTGTAAAGTAGCTCCAAGCTCACTCCCATGATGGACTACAGTCTCAACACAAATAATAAACTAAATATGAGATTGTAGTTCATCACGGGAGTGAGCTTGGAGTGGTGACTATTTTATAAAACACACACAGGGACCATGGGGAACAAAATGAGCCCCCCTCCAGAAGGAAGGACAGTGTCAGCATGAATTCAGAGATGATTTGAGGATCTACAGCCGAGTGATACACAAATAAGATACATTTTTGTTAATAGTTAGTGTACTTCAATGCATTTTCAAGATTTATCTCCCAAGTTTAAGAATATGTAACTTGTGTAATGTTCATAATCTTGAAGCAATACGTTTGTGAAAAAATATTGAGCATCCAAATTTATGTGTAACCCCTGGTCCTCTATGCACTGTAATTCCTTCCACCAACCCCTATATCACTGCAGGACACAGCAGTGATGTAGCGGTTAGCGGAAGAAACCTTAGCAGAGGACCAGGCATCTGACAGTGCTGGAAGTGTGTCCAATGCAGAAGATTCTTCAGCATGCTTAGTTCTTCAAGAAAGTGAAGATTGGCTCTACAAATACCTGGACAGGTGAGTATGTATTATGTCCCTTGCATGCTAGTTTACTTTTTTAAATAGCAGCAAGGATTCTTTTTAAAGACATTTCAGTCTTAACAAAATTATTGAACATTTAAAAAAAAATGTATTTAAAGGAAAAAGAAAATAGTTTTTTTTTCTCAATTTGTCACAATAAAAAACCGAGTAGGGTATGTATTAGAACAATGTACCAAATAAAAGATTTATATGTCCTCAAAAAAAAACTGTAAACATATAGAAAATAGTTACAGACAAGTTAACGTACTGTACAGTATACTGACACTGCTAAATGTGAACAGGACATCTAGGCATCAAGGACCTCTGGTCATTAAAGGTTAGATGACACATTTAAAACTTTACACACATAGCTTTTCACTGTACATATTTATTAGTAAGTGTGTCTAAGTGTGTCTAAGTGGCGTTCTCATGTAATTTAATGAGTGTTCTTTTTAGATTTATCGGCAAACCAGATCTTCCTCTACACAGGATCTAAGTCAGCGGTGCTCACCATATTGTTATTAAGGAATTTTCAAGGATAAAAGAAAAATTTGACCTCTGCTTCTGACCCCTGTTTGTGTGCCACAGCTTCCTCATAATCAACATTAAGACCGTCATCTCAGTGCTGTTCACAGTTGAATGCTTGGCTTAAGCTGGCCATAGACAGTAGACAGAGGTTGGATATTTGCAAATATTTCTTCCAGCAACCAAACTTTCTTTCCCCACAAAAACATGTAACCTTGATCTGCATGTACCTTCTACACCTATTCAGAATTAAAATAGGCTAAAAGGCTGTTGGATGACAAATCCAAATTGGCCAATAGCTTTTTTCCCTGAAAAATATCTGCTGAGCTTTACCGAATTCTGGCATTTTTAACAAGATTGGTCAGTGGTTCCATTATGTGCATGGTTATTCAGAGACAAAAAATACTGCAGTTTAATATCTAAACGAAACAGGAATGGTAAAGGGGAAGAGTAAAGTCGAGTATACATGGACATATTTTCTTCATTCAACCTGTGGGGTGAATGAAGAAAATATAACAGATCACTCCACCCACTCTGAACAGCATGGATGGATAAGGCCTTGTTCACACCAAATGCAGAGCAGATCCGGTCAGGTTTCTGCACACGCAGTGCAGTGCGTTGTGCCGCGTTTTTGATGCGTTCCGGGCCGGTTTTGGTAAAAAAAAAATATATATATTTTTTAAGTTTAACATGGGCTTTCAGGCACTTGCATGCGTTTGTGCGTTTTTGATGCATTCCAGAGCAGATCCAGAACAGGTAAAATAGGGCTTGCCGCAGTTTTTTCACCTGCTCTGGATCTGGTCTGGATCTGCACGCTGCGATGTGAACTGGAGGTCAAAATACCATAGGAATACATTGGACGCAGTTTTGATCCGGTCTGCACCTGCTCTGGTCTGGATCTGCTCCGCGCTTGGTGTGAACAAGGCCTTAAACTCCCACTGTTTCTATTGTATTCTGACAGTGGCTGCCGGCTGCTCTCAGAATACCTGAATGGTGCTTGCAGCTGATTGGCTGCAAGCACGACTGGTCCAAAAAAGTGTGCCTTCTGCAAAAGTCGATCTAATAACCGACTTCTCCGAGGGAATAGGGTCACTGACAAAGGGAATTTCAGCTGATTCCTGCTCAATCGGCCAAAATTTGCTGTTTGCGTACCTTTCTTAACAAGCTCCTAACAAGAATTTGGGGTGGAGGAACATGACTGGCCTGCAGAGAGTCCTGACCTCAACCCGATAAAACACCTTTGGGATGAATTAGAGTGGAGACTGTGAGCCAGGCCTTCTCGTCCAACATCAGTACCTGCCCTCACAAATGGGCTTCTGGAAGAATGGTCAAACATGCCCATAGACACACTCCTAAACCTTGTGGGCAGCCTTCCCAGAAGAGTTGAAGCTGTTATAGCTGCAAAGGACGGGCCAACTCAATATTGAATCCTACGGAGTAAGACTGGGATGCCAATAAAGTTATTGTACAGTTATTACAGTTATTGTAACTGTCTTTCTTATATTGTAAAGCATTGTGCAAGCTGTTGGCGAAATATAAATCCTGTATAATAATATAATAATAATTTTAGTGACCATAAGGAAGAAGATATGTATACAACCACAAAGAAATATTTACTGTGTTTGTATAGCATTAAAATGCCTTGACTTATTTTTAACAGATATACCATGACCTGAATGAATGAGAACCTTCACAGACATATAAATAAATGATTGGTTTGCTATAAAGAGGTTTTAATAACATTCATGGATAAATATGTACAGAACAAAAACAAATAAAAAATGATGGTGCTGCAGTGAATTTGGTACTTCAAAGTCAGCTGACCTACTGTCTGATAATTCCTTAAAATAAAAACCTCAGGACCTTTATTTTTATCCCTCCTTTGCCTTAGAGAGTGGTGAAAGAGTCAGCCCTCAGCTGTTTTGGAGCAATTTAGAGTTTGCACAAGGCTGTTTCCTTCACTCCCAGTGGGAGAGCGGAGGTAAGCGATTATTGGCCCCATAGACTGCCCATTTGCTACGTTTATGCGTGCGTTTTACACATGTCTGCCCATTTACATGTGTCACAATCTGCTCATAAGAACGCGTAACTTGATTTATGCACATTAAAACGCGCACTAAACATGCAAAAAAGGGGCAAAAGCGTGGGTAGAAACAAGCAAAAGCGCTGTTGCCTAGGTGGGAATCCAGCCTTAAAGTGTTTTGTTATATCTGTTGTATTAGTGAAAAAAATACCCGTTGATTTTGCGATAAATCTTATCAGCTGTCTGTGCACAGGGAGAATTATTTTTTTCAATAGATTTCATGTATTGACATACCAGGACCAAAGGGACGTCACCTAAGCCGTCATCTTGCACTTAACTGTGTACAGGATCTAGCAATTTGCTGGTGGCCAGTACCCGAAGATGATGTCTGGCCCTGGACTCCGATTTCCAGCGAGAAAGACAGAGCCAACATGGTCCTCCTAGGCTGTGCCAACAACCGACTGGAGGTGAGACAGCCATGTGGTGACATATGAATTTCTTTTTACAGTGGGTACATTAGGGTACTTTTTTGTTGTTGCTTTTTTTAACTTTACATTATACATAGCCCAGAGTTGTATTTTTTTTCTACCTCCCAGTTCTGGCAGCTTTGCTGTTCCTCAGTTCACGTTACTGCTTATTACATTTTTAAGTTGCTAAAGCAAAATAAAATTCAATAGAGTTGTCTAGCATGATAAATAAAATACCAACATTCTATCTGGAATTATATTTTGGCTATTCAACTAGCTTTTTTTTTTTGCTTGCCTTTTCTACTTAAATGCATTAAATATTTGATTAGGTTATTGTTTACAGAATTAATACAGGTGAAACTCAAATAATTAGAATATCGTGCAAAAGTAATTGCAGTAATTGCTGCAAAAGGGGCCCAAACCAAGTACTGAGTTCATATGCATGCTTGTACTTTTCAGAGGTCCGATATTGTTCTATGTACAATCCTTGTTTTATTGATTGCATGTAATAATCTACTTTTTTGAGGTTGTGGATTTGGGGTTCTTGGGGTTTTCATGAGCTGTAAGCCATAATCATCACAATTATGACAAATCACGGCTTGAATTATCTTGCTTTGCATGTAATGAGTCTATCTCATATATTAGTTTCACCTTTTAAGTTGCATTAGTGAAATAAATGAACTTTGCACGATATTCTAATTATTCGAGTTTCACCTGTATTAGGGATTTTCATTAGAAAAAATTACTAAAGTGTATGTAAAGGATGTTTTTTTTCATCCAAACTGTTGCCTACCCAGTGTTGTTGGAGGTAAGAATTTAAAAGGTTGTAATGACTAGATTAAGACTATTGCAAAATTATTATCCTGTTACACTATAGGGAGTATTGGAAAGCACAATACTGTTTTTTATCATTGCTTAGTTCCACTTTAACTTATGCCTGGGTTTCATCCATTACATTCACAAATCTCAAAGCTTTTCCTATGATTTATTGTTCTCTTTACAATGTTTGCTGCAACATTACTGTTCAATGTCTTAATACATCAAAAGCCACCAAAATGCATGTATATTATTTTATAGCTTTGGTTATGACCGTTGACCTCTAGTCCATCTGGTTGCCTTTCTGCTATGAGGATGTGGAGAATTCTACTTCTGATTTTTTTACTATGTGCATTTTTTTATGGGGTAACTCTGGTACTAATGTAATCTTGTTGTTGTATCCTAGCTATATACATATTTTTGTTTCTGTTCTAAGTATATGTTTTAATGTACACAGACTCTGTGTTCAATAGTATGGGATTCTTCTGGAAGCCTGTGCCTTACTTACCCTACTTTTTCAAACTGATATAAGCGCCGAAACTCTGTTTGCTGGTCAAGTGATGTGTAATATAAGAAGGTCCACCACTGCAACCCTGGGCTTTAGATAGGTACAGGCGTGGATAAATGTGTTAGTACCCTCACAACTCATTGAAACACTGCTTCCTTCTTTCTCAAAACTGATGAAATGAAAAGCAATTTTCACATGTATTCTTACATTATTTTGGTATGTCATAGAGTAAAGCAAAGAAAGTTGAAAAAAGATAAATTATTGTTTATTCTTCAAGAATATTCTATTTCGGCATGGACAGATTTTTTGGCACCCCTAGAAAAGTAATGTGGCCTATAAATAATTGAAATTTCAAACTGGCTGTTTTATGTAATTAGTAGCACACATTAATTCAATCTTGTAGTCAGTCAGCGTATTTAAATTGAGAAAAGTAGTCATTCTGCTATTTGGTATCTTTGTGGATAGGATAGCAAAAGGAGAGAGTGGTCTAAGGAGATTGGAAAAAAAAATTATAGACCAGGATGTCAACGGCAAAGGCTAGGAGACCATCACGAAGTAGATTAATGTTCTTGTGAATACAGCTGCAAATCTTATTAACAAGTTTAAGGTCCATGGAAGTGTAGCCAATCTCCCTGGTATTGTCCGCAAGAGAACAATTGACCCCAAACTAAACAGAAGGATAGTGCAAATGGTAGAAAAGGAGATAAGGAAAACTTCCAAAGAAGTTCAAGGTGAAATCCAAAGTAAATGTTCATCAATCCATCACTTTTTGAATAACAATGAGCTCAAAAGGAAGACTTTACTGTTGAAAGAAAAACATACAAACGCTACATTGAATTTTGCTGAAATGCATATTGACAAAACACTATGCTTCTGAGAACATGCTTTTTACAGGTGAGACAAAACTGGAGCTTTTTGGTCATCAGCTTAATGTTCACACTTTGAAAAATTAAGCTTTCAAGGAAAAGAACACTGTACTTACTGTGAAATATGGAGGAGGCTCAGTTATGTTTTGGCTGTGTCTGGCATGGGTTCTCCAACACGACTTTGATCCAAATTGCACAGCTAAACCGAAGAACAAAACATTGGACTACTCTGAAGTGGTGAGCCCTGATCTGAATACTATTGAACATCTATGGAAAAAGCGGAAACATGCATTGTGGAGAAGGCACCCTTGAAACCTGAGACAGCTGGGCCAAACTACCTTTTGGCATGTGCAGAAATCTTATTGTCTCTAAAGATTGTGCAACAGAAAATGAAAGGTCACATATTAAGGGTCGCATAATTTTTGTCAACGCCATTTTAAATTTGCTTTATTATTTAAAATAGCCTGTTGAATCAAAAGCAAAGTCTGATTTTATTAAATGTGAAATTGATATGGATGCCAATTACATTGGTCAGTTTCAAATAATTTCAGAGAAAATTGTGGGTTTTTCTTTTATCATGGAAGGGTACCAACACATCTGTCCACGTCTCTATCTGTGTCATAAGCATTACAAGACATCCGAGGCTGTTAGGACAACATAAAACCAAAAAGTAAGCCCACTCTGTCCAGTCTGAGCATTGTCAACTATGCTAGATTCAGACTATACTTAAAGGAGAACTATGAGGAGAGTGAAAATCACTCATCCTCATAGTTCGAGCCGACGTGTCACAATGAAACTGTCACACATCGGCTCAATAGTTCGGGAAGTGAGCGAACGCTTACTGTCATTTGCTCACTTCTCGATCATCTCCCTGCAGAGAGCGGTGACTGTCAGTCACAGCTCGCTAGAGGGATTCCCCTCCTCCCCGCTCTGATCCTCCAGAGCTGACTGGAGGAACAGACAAATGAGGGGGCGGATACAGTTGGCTCTGCCTCTAGATAGGCAGAGCCAGCTGTCATTCACGCAGCTGTGTGGATCTTAACAGCATTGTCGGGATCCGTCCCGGCTGCGGCGGTCTCAGTATATCGCGAGCTGTAGCTCACGATATACTGAGCTTTGGGTTATGGGAGGACACTAGTATATGTCCTCCCGTGACCCTTAAGAGAACTATGGGGAAAAACAGCTACCCCATAGTTATTTTTTAACCCAGAGAATACTGATTGTTTGTGTGCCAGAAAGTGGCACTACTACTTAAAATTAGCCCTCCTCCCCAGATCAGAACATGGTTGTGTGGCTAGTTGGTTATTAAAATGAATTAAACCTTTGATGTGACTTTTTACTGAGGGACCAACACACTGCCTTAATGCATAACTATGTAACGTAGAGATTTAGGCCTCCATTCCTACCAAACATGCTTTCTGCTAGATGTTTTTTTATTCTCCAGGTGTGTTACTTATGGGTGCCCATTTTCCTCCCACAATCTAAAATCAAAGTAATTGGTTAATTGGCTGTTGACAGAAATTGCTTATATATACATTCTGTTTGAGCAATGTACCCTTTATAAACATTTTGTGATGGCCACTCTGTAATTTTATATATTAATTATTTAATTTATATTGTTTTCTGTCTGGTTATTCTTAAGGTCTTGAGCTACATTCGCACCGAGGGAAATATTTTTGATGCCAGCTTTAGTGTGACCCAGCCTTACCAGGTGTACACAGTGGAACAGTCCACAAAACCAGAGAGGGAACCTATGGCTGATAGCTGCACCTATGAATGTTCCAGGAGCAGACTCCAGTGTGTCTCTGTCACTAAAATTCCCCTCAATTCTCGGGTAATTAGTTGTGGCAGAAATCTGACTGAAGACAAGCTTGTTCTTGGGTGTGAAGATTCCTCGGTTATTCTCTATGAAGCACATAGAAGAGTGACCCTTCTAGCCCAGGCTGAACTCCTACCTGTTCTAATAAGATGGCATCCATCTGGATGTATATTTGTTGTGAGCAACAATCAAGGTGAGCTTCAAATCTTTGACATGGCATTGTCACCAGTTAAGGTCCAGCTTCTTGCTGAAGACTTTTCCCCAAGAACTACTTTGCAATGTAATAAACATTTTGAAGTGTCCAGCAGTCTGGTGGACATGAAGTGGACTGTTCCCAATAACACAAGTGATAGTACAGACATCTATAACCTTCTCTTCTTGAGATTTCACGGAGGACCATTTGGAGTGCTTCAGTTCAAGCTTGGTAAGTAATCTTATAAGTAATATAATATATTCTTATAAATAATCAGCAGTGTTTTGAAATGCAGTGTTAGCAATAAATATGGGTGCCACCCAGTTGATGCTCTGGCGCTAAGATACATGAAGGTGGTCTAACTGTAAGGCTGTGTGCACTGGTATCTATGCTTACACTTATTCTGCTTCTAATTACATAACGTTGTGACCAGCTATCTATGGATTGACCAATTATTTAAGGATCTGCTGGAATAACCTTTCTGTGTACATTCAGTGCAAAATACATAGAGTTGTTTCCTCCTTTTTTGATATCAGCATTTACCCCAGTAATTTACTAAGCAATCTTAAGAAAGAATTTGTTGTCCTTTAATCTTACATGTAACATTTTCAGATTACTTTGAATTAAAGATCTGAAGCAACTTTCAGAAATAGAATCAGCCATTCATTGGCAAACACAAAGTAGAATTCAATAAAAAATGGTTTAAATTCCTTATTCAAAACTCATTGAATTGTATGTTATTGGTTATTGAGGAGGTCAGGAGGTCACTACGCAGGAGAAAGTCACTATTGATATAAAAGCACCAATGAACAAATTAAGTTTCAGTGGCATATGTCAGTGGTGTTTTTGGTGTCATAGTATATTTTGTTTTTCATTTTGAGGCTGATTCTAAGTTTAGAGCCTTGTTTGGGCTAAGGCAAGGATTAGGTTTAAGAGTCTGTAATAGTTTAAGGTTAATGTAAGATTTAAGGTTATATTTAGGTTAAGGGTTAGTTAGTATAAGGTTTTCAGGTGAGGTAGATTAACTCTTCAAGTCTGGTCATTTTTTGGCAATTGAAGGAGAATTATGAGGTGAGTGCTATTCACTCGCCTTATAAACTGAGCCGACCTGTGACAATGAAACTGTCACAGGTCGGCTCAGTAGATTGGGAAGTGAGCGAACACATACCGGTGCTCGCTTACTTCTCGATCCTGTTACTGCAGAGAGCCGTGACAGGGGAGTGACTGGATTCTCCCCTCCCCTGTCCGATCCTCCAGCGCCTACTGGCGGAACGGATGGGGGAGGGGGCGGGTACAGCTGGCTCTGCCTCTAGATAGGCAGAGCCAGCTGTCACTCACGCAGCTGGGCGGATCCAGACATAATTGTCGGGATCCGTTTGAGCTGCGGCGTCTCAGTATACCGCGAGCTGCAGCTCGCGGTATACTAAGCTTTGGGTAACGAGAGGACGCTTGTTTGTGTCCTCCCGTAACCCTTCGGAGAACTGTGGGGAAAAGCCCTAACCCCATAGTTCTCCTTTAACCTAACTTAGACTACTCAGAACCAAATTTATTTTGATCCAACCTACCCTAGTAATTACTGAAGCCTAGTAATTACTGAAACCAAAATTCATGTACTGATTGGCAATATGTGTTAGCGCAAAAGCAATCTTGTTTCTCCCATAAAATCTATACCAGAACTGTGAGGTTTGCTACCATCTAAGCAGCCAGTAATTGGACCCACAACTGTAATCTGTCATTTGATGGTTTTTATGGTACTCTGTGTAAGGTTGGTACTTTTGGGTATGGTGGTATTGAAACCAAGCTCACTCCAATGATGGACTACAATCTCATGTTTAGTTTACTAATTTGTATTGAGATTGTAGTCCATCACAGGAGTGAGCTTGGAGTGGTGGCTACTTCACAACACACACAGGGACCATGTGGAACCAAAACAGCCCCCCTTCAGAAGTAAGGACAGTGTCAGCACCCATTCAGAAATGATTTGAGGATCTACAACTGAGTGATACGCTAATAGGCTACATTTTCGTTAATTGCTAAGGTTCTTAATTTCCATTTTTCAGGTTTAAATCTTGGGTTTAGTGTCACTTTAAGACAATCTTCAGTTTCCCTAAATGTCGGAAATTTTGGATAAAAATAAGCTTGCACCATCAATTTAACTCCTAATCTGCTATGCAGTTTGTGAACTCCATGTAGGGTTAGAGTACATGAGCATTTGAAATGAGGTTGAGATCAATATAATGCACACTGATCTATAATAAACTAATCACAATTTACGCAGCATTTCACATATATTACAAATATAAATAAAGTAATATACTTTACATCTGTGCATACACTAGTCACAAAGCAGGAATCAAATATAATTTAGTTTCTTACTTTCTAACTGAATTTGATTGAGAGGACAACTTTACCCAGAACTAATATATGAGTTTGACATATTTGGTAGCAAGATGAATCACATGGTGGCTAATTTCTGCAGCTTCTGTTGAGATATTCCCACCAGAATTCCCAGTGTTGCCCAACTCATGTTTCCAACACAAAGCCAAGGAAGGAATAATTACATTTTCCGTGATGGATTCTTCTTAATATAGTAAAACAAAATATATGGTGAACCTACGTCCATTCCGTCTTCATGGCTTTTATTTTAAAAACATAATTTGTACATGATAAAATAAAGCACAATTTTATTTATAGTGTATTTTTTACATTTAATTAAAAATGCATTTTTATGGCAACAGTGTCATGTATTACATAATGAAGAGCTCCTGAAAATGCCAGAGCATTTTGAAATTTCAGTCTGTTTTCTTACGCAGGTTGTCAGTGTTGTGTTATTTCACAAGTGCTTAAGTCAACAGGGAATTGGACATCTGAACAGGGCCTAATGTACTATTAATTGGCAATGAAATTGACCAGTGTCAAAGAGCCAAATTCTGAGGCACAACCGTCTCTTTATTGTAGAACAAACGGAAATGTCATTCACTCTGTAATTCCCAGAACACTCATCCTCTCTCTCTCTCTCCCTCACACTTTGCTCGCTAGCCTGGCACTCTGCTTTTTAACAAATTTTAATTCTTAAATGGTAAGGTACACTCAGTAAGGAAAAAGATACAAAAACACATTCACAACATAAAAGTTATTAGCTTGGTCTGAGTACGAAGTGTGAAGGAGGTGCCTAATACTTTGTGAAAAAATGGAAAAACCCTTTGTCCTATAGGGAAGCCTAATGGAGGGTGTCAGGGAATGATGAGTGGGGTGGCAGAGGGCATTGTTCAGGGATCCACTAAAATGACGGAGTGGTTGCTGAACAGGTAGATTCTGAATAGCGGGATCCCCTGCCTTGTGCATTACTCTTGGACTGAAGTGATTGTTCATTTTAAAGCTGAACATTGAGATAGGCAAATATTGTTTCATTCAGGTCTGGACAATTCTCGTAAAGATCTAGTAGCCAGCTGAAAAAGTCAGGAGCCAGCAAACAACAGCAAATCGCCATAGCGTTTTATTATTTCCCAATCTTATTTACTGATATACTGTATTTACGTATATCTCGTAATGCAAATACACAACAATATATAGAAATCCTTGCTTATTCCGAAAAAGGGAGTTGCCACTAGGCAGACAGCGAGGATACAATCAATAAGAATACATATACACAGCAGCCTCCAGGCTCCAACCCACACCACCATGGTACTTCAAACAACCGTGTACAAACAATTCCACCTGGGGGCACAACTCTACCCCATCCCATTTATCTTTTATCCATTGCACAGTTCAATATGTGCACACAGTAGCTGGGCCGGCGGCACTCTGCAGTACAGATCCACATCTTTGGGAGTGGTCAGTGATTGAACAAATCCTATTTCTATTAGGTGCAGTCTAGTGGTGGCTGTCGGAACTGAATCTTATGTTTTACTTTTTGTGTTTCTTCCAGATGTGTGCAGTAACCCAGCATGAAACTTTCTGTCTGTGTGGGAGCTTCCTGTAATAAGGACCAGTCACTGCTGCTCTCTCTGCTTGTACAGAGTGATGGGTCTGGTATCCGTTATTCCCCCCAGAGACTTAAGGCATGCTACACAAGATGGTCAGAGGAAATGCAGTAAATTAGGAAATCCCTTTTCTATACTATGCCATCTTATGGCTGTTAACTGAACTGCAGTCAATGAAACTGCATAGAAAATACTCAAAATCCTGGTTGCCTGGCCTCATTTTTTTTCATAACACTGGTGAATTGGCAACCAGGATTTGTGCAGTCCTGGCTCTGAACCTTGGTTTATTTTTTGTATTTCTTCCAAATCTGTGTGGTAACTCAGCATTCAACTTTCCCTCTGTGCAGGAGCTTCCTGTAAAAAAGACTAGTCACTGTTGGGCTTTCTCTCCTTTTACAGGGTGACTGGTCTTGTATCTGCTACTCTCGCCTACCCCCTGGAATTATCTGCAGGTAGCCTGTAGTGGATAGACCAGCTGGGGCCTTACCACAGCTCTGCGGTCTGCATAGCTTATGTGCAGCACAGTGATGATGTCACTGATACATATATATGGCACTAACTAGGTTTGCAAGGACATTTGGCGCATGTCTGTGCTCTGTCCACATACCTGTGTCCAAATGCTAGAAGAATACTTTTTTTAAAGTAGCAGCCCATTGTTGAAAATGCTGTTGTAGGAGGATTTTTTGCTGGGTACCACATGTATCGTGATTGTGCAATAGGAATTACTGTAAGTCACTCCTCTATCAGACACCAAATGTCTGCCATCTTTTGCCCTGTTGTTGCAAACATGATGATGTAAAGACTCTCTGTTATCTCATGAAATACTCAAATTACTCCCAAAATACTCCTGGTAGCTGGGGACTGTATGATCTATACTGCAGAGACTGTAGACCTATTGGAGTAGATGCCCAGGGACTTTGGACATGCTACAGTAAATAAACAGATACTGTGGACATATTTGAGGAGATGGTCAGAGACTGCAAACTACAGGAGACATGATATTCCTCTCAACAAAACCAATAAAATAATACAGAGAGTAAAGAATAAAGAGTGAATAGAACATACAGCACAGAAAAGCTGAGAAGTGTAAAAGAAAGAAATCAAACAAACTAACTTGCAGACGCCAACCTAATAAATATTTTCCTTCACCAAGTAAGCGACTAGGCAGGGAAAACCCTGTCTACTGGCAGATGGGACCAAAGGGCCACATAATAAGTGTAATGGGATGTACAATTTACTTTAGAGATTATCCTCCAAATCTCACCACTGAGGTTTATTCTGTTTCTCCGTACACATAATTCTTTCCTTTACAGTTCCCCACCAGACTGGCCCCCATTCCTCTGTTGATCTTTTCCACCTGACATTATCCTGTATTTAGCATCTTCAGGGTGTGTCACGTGATTTAAGGTACACCACAACTATTTGCATAGAAAGGGTGAATGAGAATGTGCCAGCCTTTGGCTGCATATTACATTTATTTAATTAAAAGCAATTTCTTTAAACTGCACTCACAAAAATACATTGTACAAACCATGTTAGTAGAAAACAAGGCTCCCTACTCCCTATTTGATGCCAAATTGTATTTTGTTTTTTAAAAATGTATATTTTATTTATTTAGTTTTTGCAAAGGAAGTCACAAGAAATTAGTGTGAACAATTGGGAAATTGTTGACATTAAAAAAAACTCTGTTAGCTTGCATAGCTAGTCCAGGAACCATCGTTGTGTTTTACAGATTATCACATTTATTGTTATACTTGTAAATTATAAACTAAACTAATAGGTTTACAGAGCCTTAAAAAGTCCTGTAAATTACCCTACCTTTATAGTGCAGTTTACATTGTCCCCCGTGACATTGCTCACAGCAGCTTTGGTTAATAAAAAAAAAAGGCCCTTGACTTGCTATCTCCAGTACATTTGTGTTCTCATTCAGGCCAGAATAGTCACTGTGCAGGGATTTAGAGGCCTTCCAACTAATTGCTATCTTGTAAATTTAATTGGACTGCCTCCCAAGGCACTGTTCTTAAATCAATTAGGCTACAAGTTGCCTGTCACCTCTTTCTCCCAAGAAGTATACCATCAAGAGAGGTCAAGCATCTAAAGGGGGAAAGATGTTTCACCTCAACCATTTGAGATTTGCCATATTTTAAAATTCAATGTTTGCATTTAGTTAAAGTATTTCTCTTACCAGGGAAGATTGCGTTTCCCCCCCCCTTATTATTTAAAGTCACAAAACAGTTTCATTGGATCGTTACTGATTTTTGGTTACTGTCTCCTCTGTGTCACTCTAATAAGGTTTAGCAGTTCTCTAACTGGACTGTCCTTGTTAATGAGATCAATTGACTTTGGGGATGCATCGACTGATAAATAATAAATCCTTTCCTTATTATTTTACAAGCCTTGTGGTTCTGTTCTTTGCCAATGAGAGCAAGTACCATGAACAGCTAAACTGCAAATAAAATCCCTGCTTTAGATATTAGACAAATGTGATGTCATTTGTGAAACCAGTTTATGTGGAACAAATTGTTACTTTTTGAATGAATTCAACTGCCATCTACTGTCATTCGTTTTACGGTATATCGCCACATGTCTTGCTAACACTGATCAGTAACCGTGTCCCTGTGTTCATTAGAAAGACCTATAATGGAGAAAAGGGAACATAGTGGTGTTATCCATATTAACCAATCAGACACTTGATTTCATTATCGATATGACAGTTGAAATCGGAGCAGAGTTTGACAGCTGACAGGTTTTAGAGTTCCCTAGGATCTTAAAGGGAAGAGCTCTGCCCTTCTCCTGTGGGGCTAAAACTGGCAAAAGTTGCAGACAGAGCATACTGATCTTTAGGACCAGAACATTTTGTGTGATCTATACAGGATTGGACAAACCCAGGAGCCAGGTAGCCTTGAAGTCAGTAAAAGGACATATTTAGTGACACCTTAAAATTGCCTGCTGACTCCTAGATTGCACTGACAGGTTTCTAAATTATTTATGACTTTTTTCCCCTGGAGTTATACATAGACTATGAGTCACGGGGCCAAGCTGTTTGGATAAAACGTTATAGCTAAAGAAAGTAATTTTAACTGTTGGCAGGTTTGGTATCAGAAAGTATCATTTTCTTAGCTTGTCTTTGGATACAGTTTTAGAATTTGAATTTTGGTTTGTTTGGTAAGGATTCTTTCTCACCTTAATGAACAGACCAGCTTTATCCTTCCAGATATGGATTTCCTGGCAGTCTGCTCATCACTGTGGCTAAACTCTGGATTAGCTTGAAGGCGTTTGAACCAGAATTGCCCGCCTAGACCTGGTCACTTGTTAGTAGTTTAGTATATGTGCATGTTATGTTTTTGAGGACCCACATGACCTAACAACCAAAAGCATAAGGCGTGCAGGAGACATAACTTGTATTGGGTATCTTAGATCTGGTTGAAAAGCTAACTATACATATGTACGTTTTTAAAATTGTACTGAAAGATAAACAATTTTGGAAGATGTAAGTCATTTAAATCCATGGTTTGGATCAAATTTGCCATGTAATGCCTAATAAGTAATGCCTTTTTTAATCTTAAAGTTGACCCTTACCACTTTCACTAAAAAGCAAATCAGCATTCTGATATAAAAATTTTTTTTTACATTTCTTAGATAAACAAACACATTTTGCTTCAATTTACAATTACTGTTTATCCACTTCCTGGTCCTCTTAGGCATTAGTGATGTAATCCGGGCCTAACAGAAGATGCATCCTGGGAAGGTTACATCACAGTGTATTGCTGTGAAATCCCATCTGTAAAGTGCAAAATCTCACAAAATTGAGATGATGTGCACTATCACATGTGCCACAATTCCAGGAATTAAGGGAGATGGATTAATCTGCCCTTAATGAAAATGGCCCCTGTGAGAAGAATAGGGAGGAAAAGAAAAGGTATGCAAAGAATAAAAAGCCTGAAATTTAGGGCTGTGCAAATTAATAATTAATTTCTCGATTAATCATTAATCTTTTTGATCGATTCAAACATTTTTGATAGATTAACATTTTTTTGAAACTTTCTGCACAAAAGCCAGCCATGGCATTGGCCTATACACATACAGCACAGCAATGAAGTAATAAAATGAACTAGGATCACACTAATCCAGCACGCTATTATTCTGAGTTGCCCCACTCAAGCGGCGGCCATATTGAGTGGGGCACGTGAGATTAATAACGTGCTGGATTAGTGTGATCTTATTTCATTTTATTACTTCATTGCTGTGCTGTATGTGTATAGGCCAATGTAGTTTGATCTGTATGTGCGTTATAATTAATCGAAATTAATCGATTAAAACATTTTTCGATGAATCGAACACAAAAATTTTAATCAGTAACAGCCCTACTGAAATTATCTAGCAGTGTCTGGTTGTAGATTGCCATTACTAAATATTTCTAAAGGGGCCTTTGTTGTCATTTTAAAGATATGTATGGAGTTCTTCTTTAAGTACTAAGCACCATATTGTTAACATTGGTTTTGTTTTACTTTAAAAGGTGCTGTATCAAAAGGACAGCTGGGCCCAGTGGAGCTGGTTTCACAGTACCTCCGTTTTGGTGAAGTAGACGAGGCCATATCTATACTGAGCTGTATGAACTGGAATACTGCTGGTCAGCAGTGCTACACATGTATGAGTGCTATAATGAACCATCTGCTAAAACAGAAACTCACTCCAGAAAAAGAAGGTAACATTTATCCCTTTAAGTCGTATATTACAACTTTTAATCCAAATTCCTTGTACTTTTTCTGTGTTTGTACTACTAATATATATATGTTTTCTGCTTGCATAGGTAGGACTAGGTTACTTAAGTAATCACAGTTTTTAAACTGTGTCTATAATACATCTAAAATCAAAATATTTTCGATTTAAAAAAAAAAATGTCTTTGAAGGTCTTTCAGTTAGCATAGACACCCCTTATTGCTTGTGACCCCTCCATGCATTCAGGTCCCGTAACTCCATTTTTTTTTTTTTTAAGATTGGGAACAGCAGTTACAGAGTTTACTAACAGTTCTACCTTGTTTCTTCTCTTGACTGTATTCATACAATGATTCTCTGGGCCAGTTCTGTCCCTACTCTAACCCCAGCCTGAGGCCATAGAGCGGGTGGGGGGCAGTGGTAGGGAGCTTAGGGTTGCTACTGATAGTGCTTTGGGGGAAAGGGGGCGTTGACGGATGCAGTGGGACATGCGGCTGTGTGAGAGCAATGTCTGTCAGCGGCTCTCTGTCCGGTCATGCTCAACTCACTGATATCACTGGTTGCCAGGAGCTCGACGGGATGCCAGACAGAGCAGACAGAGCCACAGTTTGCTAAGAGCTCTTAGGGACTTGGGACGCTGTGGCCGACCCTCTGGGCTTCTCTGACTCTTAGTTCACCACTGGGTAAGGTGAGAAAGGTGCAAGGATACATATTCAAAATGTTGGGCTTCAGTTTGCTGGACACAACTAAGAGCAGAAAATTATTTCTTCATCCCTCTGTAAAGCAGCTCTCTCCTGAATAGAGAAACCTGCTTGGAAAAGCATTCAGGACGATAAGTTCTGCAGTGACTAATGCTACGGCCTGTGTTCAATTGAGTGCTTGAGTGGCAATGTGTCACTGAGTGCTTTTTGTGTACGGCGCTGTTCTGATCAACCCATTTCTGTCCTGGGTTTTGTGAAACACTGGACTTTTTCACTTTTACACTGAAACATTATGCCACTTTTGACATCAGCTGTAGATTCTATTTAATTTGCTGTATGGGTTGCTTGCAATTTACCACTTAACGGGATTGAAAAAAAAACACAGTTTAATTATCTCTAATTAGTGTTAATGAAAAGTACAGAGTCAGATTGGAGCAAATGACTGCCGTTATCTATAAGGCTGCCTTTCTTTATCAGAGACCCTTAGTTAATTACTTAATAATAACCTGTACCAGCAATGAGGATATTAAAGTGATAATAACATCTGAATGTGTTTACAGGTCACTACATTAACTCCACTACCCACAGTGCCCTTTATTGGCACACCAGCAAAAATAACTCGGGAATTAAAAGTGCATTACAGTGTTTATACATAAAGACAGAAAATTTGTTTCTGCATAGGAGTTTATACCAAAATGAGAGATTGTTAGGCTACTGAAAGCTGTGAAATAAAAAACAAAACCCAGCATTCAATGGATGCCATCACAAACATCATGGATCTCTATGTGACATTAAACGTTTTTACACCTACCTGCTTGAATGTTGGTAAAGGCTGCTTGTTATATGCCGGCACTTTTATCACAATGAAGTTTGCACAGACACCTACTGTCACTGTAGAGTTTACTGACCTTTGTTACACTCATTTGATTTTCTAACATCACTATGAGCCTGATACATGCAGGTAAATGCAAATCACATGCAGACCTACTGTACTGGAGATTCGCTTTTCAACTTTTGTGGGTACCTGTAAGTTCCCATTCAAACAGGTCGATCTGGGATTTCTGCAGCAGGAACCTATCGATTCCTGAGGCCGGATTCCCAGGTGGCCCAACCAGATGCGGCCGCTGTACCGATTCAAGTTAATGACAGGGTGACAGTGGCCACGTCTGAAAGCAGCAGTTTGCATGTATTTGCACATGGTACAATTTCATGTGGTTTGGAATAGAAGATTGTAGCTGGATGCATCCTGCATCCAGCGACAGTCACCTTATTATATACAATTACATGCAGACTGCTGCTTACAGCTGTAGCCGCTGTCACCCTGTCATTAACTTGAATGGGTACTGCAGCCACATGTGAACAGGGACACCTATGGATTCCTGTTGCAGGAATCCCAGATCAACCCATGTTAACAAAGCCATAGGGCCCACTAACACTGTCCGTTAAATGCACATGCACTTACGCAAGCGGCTTCAAGGCAGCCCATTCACTTTAAATGGGCTGGAAGCACACCTTAATGCATGAGAAATGAACATTCCACAAAACTTGTGTTTTATCTAAAACTACATCTAAAACTAGATCGTATAGGTCAGTAGATTGTACGATCAGATTGTAACATGTATGGCTAGCTTCAGCCCATCGGGGATTACCTGTTGTCCTTTAACTGCTTTGGAACAAGTTCCATAGAAGCATAATAAGAATGTATGCAAGGGTTTGGTCAAATTTGGATAGCCACAAGTAAAAACAAAATAAACAGGCATACTCATTTCAGATAATAATCTCTAGTTTTGTCCTTCTGATGGTAAAATAATGAGAGATTCTCAATATAACTGTTATTTTAATGTTCAGTTTAAAGTGCCCATATAAAATCAATTGCATTTTGTGTAGCAGAAAACGTGCCATTAAAAACCAGTTGAAGAGAATGTTAGCTAGTCAGAGTTAATTCCCACTGTGTTCCTTAAACCACCGTGCTTATTACAAAGATGAGAGCTCCATGACACCAATAGGAGCTTCAGATGCAAACGCATTTGTTTTCAGTCCCAAGTTATTATGTCTGAATCTAACAATTTTGAAATGCGGGGTAATTTGTTTTTCTTTTTATTAGAGGAACCTAGTGAGGCCTTTTTATTTAGAGGGATGTGACTGTTATCTTCAAGATCTGTTCTCCTCCGACAGCATCCAGCTGAGATTTCTAATGAATCTGGAACTATAGAAGTAGCGACACTGATTCCTAGTAGGTCGGAACATTCAGTGACACAAAACATGCTGTCAGGAAAAAAGCAAAAGGCGAAGGAGCCAGTTGTTTTCTGGAAGAAATAAAATCACTGCATACCATTCACTTTAACCAAAACTGACTGCTGCTTTGTTTAAAAAATAATAAAATAAAAAGCTTGATTTTAGCTTATCTTGCCTTACATGCAGAGTACTGCAAATTAGTAATTTATCACCTATTTGACTTCTTGCTTGGCTGGGTCGAAATGTTTTCTGTATTGAAATAACGGCTGTATAATTAATAGGACAATTACTGTCTTTAAGATGGCCATAGAAACAGAACAACTGACTTTACTCAAGCTGTGAATTAGACAGCCCAGTCTTTAATCAATTTAGACATACACAGGCATGGCCAAATCTAGACTGTTCTCTTGTTTGGCACCATAGATATATGATGACCAGGTGGATGAGGTTATTGTATTGTTGGATTTTGATCGGGCAGAAAATGAATGCTTGCCATTTATCCACAGATTAGTAGATTAATATACCCTTTTTTGGCTTGTCTTTGCGGCGGATCCTGCTCTGCCTCGATTTGCTGCCCTAAAGACGTAAGCCAAATGTTTTATGCTTTTTCCGCATGACTGCATTTATTGCTATTCAGTTGAACCCGCTAATATCTCAAGCCTAAAATGGCTAATGACATTGAACTATAAAAATAGCCACCCATCTAAAGTCAAAGCAAAGGACACAATAAAAAAGTCTCGCTTTCTGCACTACCCATTCCCACCTGTACGCTCTATTGCCATCCCGCATGCTGCATTTTTGTGTTTGGTCTGCATTTTGCTATTCAATATGATCCTTCAAATGCTATTGAAAACTTGGTGCATGTGACCACACATGTTATGGTGAGAATAGGCCCTTACAGATAATGAGGTAAGGGAGTTTTTCTTGGGTCCCAAAGACAACAAAATGACACCAAGAACATAAGTAGTGATTGTAAGTATAAGATATTTTGGCTTATCTTTGATGCGTATTAAAATGTCTTGTGTCACAGACTTTATGGGCCCATTTACACTGTTGCATTTTAATGCTTCTGGGCTTAATGATGGCCTAATTTTAAGGCAGTTCCGTATGCCCGATGTCATTCAAGTCAGTTGCAACTTAACATTCAGGTAGTGCAGGACAGACAGGCTCAGTATCTGGATCGCCACATTCACAAGTCCCACGTAACAAGGCTACCCTGTCCTGGTGTTTCACTAGTCCAGTGCTGGAGTTAGGGAAATCCTTCCTACAATTGTTCTGGAAGGTCATCGATACTCTCTCGATGCAAGAGACTTATTTGTTGTTGGAATCCCATCTCCCTATTAATATTATGGAGCTTAGAGCGATTTGGTTATTCCTTTAATGCTCAACCTCGTGATTGCAAGGTCACCTGACAAGGATTTGGATGGACAGTACCATGGCAGTGGTTTACGTCAACCATCAACCATCAGGGAGGAACTAAAAGCCTCGAAGCTGAAAGAGAAACAGATCTGATTCTCAATTGGGCAAAATGCCAGTTTCAAACCCTGTCTGTTGTACACATCCTAGGAGTGTAGTGTTGACGGGTGGAACTCTTCAGTCATCAACATCTAGACTCAGGAGAATGTTCTCTGCACCTTGAGGTTTTTCATGAAAAGACAGGATTTGTCCAATTGAGTACTAGTGCTCCCAGTAGTGGACAACCTGCCTCTTGTTGCACTATCTTCAGGTGGAATCGACAGCTCATAATTCAAGCATATAGACTTAAGGACAAGGTTCCACATTCCCTGTCAGCGTGCAAGACCCCAACTTCTCCAGTAACTCATGGGATCTCAACATGATTCTGTAGTTTATTCAGAAACCACCCTTTGAGCTTATCAGGGCTACTCCCATGTCTACTCTCACTAAGAAGGTTGCCTTTCTCCTTGCCATCACGTGTGGAAGGCAAGTTTCTGAGTTGGTGGCCTTAACCTTTGAGAACCTTTTTTGTGCTTCCCAGAGACATTGTTGTCTTGAGGTCTGACACTGCTTTTCTTTCCTAAGTGGATTCTCCCTTGAACCGTATTCAGGACATTGTTCTCCCATATCTATATCCTGCTCCATGATATCCCAAGGAAGTTTCCTCCATTGTCTGGATGTGGTACACTGTTTTCTAGCGTACATCTCATCTACAGCTTCTTTTAGATGACTAACTCTCTTTTTGTCATTCCTAAGGGTCCCAGTAGGGGACAACCTGCCTCTTGTTGCACTTCAGGTGGAATCGACAGCTAATAATTCAAGCATATAGACATAAGGACAAGGTTCCACATTCCCTGTCAAAGTGCATGCCCCTAGATCAGATAGTGGTTCATCGGCTTTTTAACATCAGACATCTGTACCTCAGATGTAAGGCTGTTCTGTTCATAATCACTAAGTTTACCAGGTGGATGCTCAGGCCCCATCTGATGCCAACTTCAGATGTAAGGTTGCTCAGGTGGCCCTGTGAGTTCTATTGAGCCCCTTCTGTTGTTAACGTGGGCCTGTTGGACTGAGTTGGACTACTTTTGGATATCCCTATATTAAGGTGGGTCTATTAGTGTTTGTTACCTGAGTTGGACTGCTTTTGGATGTCTCTGTGTACCCAAATTACTATCCTGTGTCCTGATTAAGAAATTAAAATTTTTGGATCAACGAAAAATTATTTTCTTGCAGTACATTAAGGAACACAGGTCCTACCCCTCTGTTCTTTTGCTCCATTCCTACTAAACTGAGGCATGATGGGAGTGGTATACTAAGCTGTCCTTACAGCTTTTGTTTGCCGGTGTCCAATCTCCTTAAGGCAGCAGCTCAACCATGCACCTTGTTACCATGTTACTATTCTGTACTCCAAGAAAAGGATTTTCTGGTAGCTAAAATAAAAATCTATGTTTTCCACTTATTAAACAGATATAATAAGATATATATAATATATTTAAAATATAGTTGTATATTAAACAAACCAAAAACGAGCAAAGAGAAGAAGTTCATTAGGTTAGGGTTTACATTTAATTATGATGTGGTGCAGATTTACTGATCAGTTGAGAAATGGCCATGCAGGGGTTAAGGATTTTTTTTAAATCTCTGTAATCTGGTGTCTATATTTTATTTTCTATAGAGAGAAAAGGGAACAAGACTCTCCAAATATGCACCACATTCACCTATCAGTGGAGTTAAAGAGAAAACATTAGATGCTAAAAATGCTATAGGGGATGGGAAAATGATATGTAAAGAATGATGGGACACACAGGCCCGGAAACATCTCAGTGGGACCAGTCAGTGCAATCAAGAATGGGCAGATATCTCGCTTCCTGTTATTCCCTGTGATAAATCTGCCTGTCTATGGCCTCAGATTACAATTCCCTTAAGATGGGATTAGTTGGCTCTGATGTATAATACAGTCACAGTGCACCTCAGTGTGAAGCATCTACTTGTCCAGAGGTTGTCTTATTTCTTTTAGATTTTAATCTCATGAGCCCAAACATTTTTTTTCTTCTAAATGTATCCAGAAAGTCATATTTCTCCAATTAAATGGGTCAGTGCTATGTTCATGTACAGATTGCTAAGCCGCGCCAGCCACATATTGGGCTCTCAAGGACAAGTTAGATCACAGAGGCCAAGATAATTAAGGCAACATAAAAGACCAAAACACTGTCAAAACAAAGTTCTGAAAGCAAGGGTCCCTGCAAAACTTGGTATTGTGCTGTCAAATATGTATTAAAAGGTAAAAACAATGTGTAGAATGGACTGTCTAGTTAGCATGTAGAAGATACACAAATTATCGATAAACCATCAATTTTGAAAAATCATATATTCAATATTTATTGATTCACTATAATGCAGCATTGTGTTGGCTGATCCTATCGTCAATATCGTACAAACAAGCACAACGTATACCCTGCACCACTCAACACAAAAGAGACACTCTCATAATAGACCACTGCTGAGCTGAGAAATATAGAGTTGTTAACAGTCAATGTGAAGCAGACTGGTTCAATAGCACTAGCAGACAAAACAACGTCACATGCAGAGTTTAAAGTTGGAACAGTAGCGAGATGCAAGTATCTTAAGAGTAACTACCAAAATAACGAGCCACCAGCTTTAAAGCTCTTCTGTCAGAAACGAGATGCAAGCTTTTGTTTTTCTTACAATGATATAAGGCAAGAGCTGAAGATGAAGATTTTCTTACAATTTTATAAGGCAAGAGCTGAAGTAACACCAACTCGATATCTGTCTGCAGTTGTTCTATTAAACCTTCTTTAAAGACTTATTACATTCAGCTGTAATGCATTATGTACTTTTAAAGTATGATGTATGTAACCCCAATGGCTAAAAGTTCCTATAATGTTTAACATGTTAATGTAATTTAAGGTAATCAATCATTTTAAATCTACCGCTTTCCGTAAAATAATACCTGTTGATCCTGCCATTATAGTCCTTGCACAGACACATTAGGGTGGAGTTATAAACCATTTGCACAGCAAAGAGCTCTACAAACAACGTTAGCAGCACATTATGGCCACTAGATAGAGCCAAGGAGCATAGGAATTAAAAAACCTAAAAACGGTATATATCATTTCCACAGATGAATGAGACTAACTACTACCGCTAGCTATCTTTCATTTGTCTGTTTTTAAAAGTTTGATCTTATTAGCTTTATGTCAGCAACTTGGGTAATGTCCATATGAATCAATGAGCAATAATAAGTGTTCAGACTTGGCTAGCATTGGCAATGTTGCAGAAACCCCATGCTAAAAGATTTCTTAATGATCTGTTCAGAAAATTACATTTGAAAAGAGAAGCATGGAAGCTACTATATTAGGTTTTAAGGTTGGAGACTTTGCGATTGCTGTAGGACAGTTTTTAGTTTTGTTTCTGTGGCTTCAGATCTATTCATGCAGTATATGCCCAGTTTAAAGAAAGTCTGTACCGAGATATTTAGGCTGCCATTAGCGAACCTCCTACTGAAAATGGTAATTGCCTGGCCATCACCGAATCACTGACCCAGAGCAAGTATTCAGTCAGTTAAGTCAGAGCTCTTATTGTTCATATCTGTTCTGGTTTAGTGACAATGGCAAGCCATATATTCTCCTAGCAGAGGTTCCTTTAAGGTAGTACCTGATGAGATGGATTAAAGAGGAACATTACCTACCAATTTAATGTCTCACAAAACAGTTACTTTTAAGGCATGCCAACTGTAAATGTTGCCAGTGTGCTTATTTCAGCTCTCTGCCAATCTTTTAAGTCCTGAAATGGCTGGTGTCATGGCTGAACACATGTGCAGCAACATGGCAACTGCCATCCAAATAGAGGCTAAGATGGCACCTTCTTTGGCTGTAAACGATAGGAGGTTGTAGTTCAGCATTAAGGCATGTGCTTATATTGATACCTGCTATTTTTCCTCCATAGCTCAGTTGGAGGCTTGCCTTGGAACCTTCTATTCTCTGGGTCGGCCACTGATGGACGCTACCATCATGGAATATAGAGATCCTATAAGTAGATATGCACGGAGGTTCTTCCACCATCTTCTGAGGTAAATAGCAATGCAGACTTTGTTTCCCTGATATGCCGTACATTACCTTGTATGATATTTGTAAAATCGCCCATGCATTTCAGCATTCATAGTACATATAAAATAACTATTTTGACTTCTAATATTTGATTTATAGTAGGCTTAAAAGAGAACTATGGGATAACTTTTTTTATCCTATAGTTCTCTTAAGGGTCACGGGAGGACATATACTAGCATCCTCCCGTGACCCAAAGCTCAGTATGTAGTGGGCTACAGCTCACAGTATACTGAGAGCGCCGCACCCAGGACGGATCCCGACAATGCTGTCGAGATCCACCCAGCTGGGTGAGTGACAGCTGGCTCTGCCTATCTAGAGGCAGAGCCAGCTGTGCCCGCCCCTCCCCCATTCATTCCTCCAGTCAGCGCAGGAGGATCGAAGCGGGGAGGGGGGGGAATTCCAGCGGGGACTGACAGTCACTGCTCTCTGCAGGGAGATGATCGGAAAGTGAGCAAGCGAGCGAGTATATGTCCTCCTCCAAAAAGTGTTAGGCCATAGTTCTTCTGTAATGCTGGAATTTTGCAGTAAGGGGAAGAAGGAGAGCTCAGCTTCTTTACAAGCTGTAGGTCTATTTTAACATGGAATTTGTGCATCACTCGCCTTCAAGTTGATTCTCCAGGAATATATGCAAAAAGTCACTTCAGCATTTAGGGCAGAAGCTAAAGAGTAGGTGTCACAGCCATGCTGAGGGTGGTGGATTCTACCTGGCAGTGTGACGGAAAGTTGTAGACACCTGGCTTGGAATCAAACCTCCCACACTCCAACCAAAAATGAAAAGAAAATCTGTTGGATGGAGCCTGCTTAAAAGTGGCTCATGAATCACAGCATGTTAGCATAGTTGTGTAATAGAGTACCACTGTGTAAATCATAACAACATATGCTGGACAAAGAAAACTGATCAAGAGGTTGTAAGTTCAAGGATGGTAAGTATGGAGACCTGTGTTAGCTTAGCTCACTGGTTTTATTAAGTAGTATGTGTTCCTCGAAGCGGTATAGGATGGGTTCTTCTTCTTTTTCTTTTGGTAATTTAATTTACAATTGTATATTTTGGCAATAATAGAGCATATATAAATGGACATCTGTGAGGGTCCATTCACATCCTAACATTGCGGTAACACACAATCAAATGCTTGTTACGGCAGAAAATGAACTGTAGTGTTTTTTTAAATGGCACACCAGCTCATATCTCCAGTGTATGCCCTAATAGACCTGCAAGTTAGCGCATCACAGCACATGGAAATTAACCATACGTGTTTTGAGGTACACTGTAAAAAAATATGTGTTAGTGTGTTGAAAGGTTCATTGAGGTGCGTTGGCAGCCCATTCAAAATGAATGCATTGCCTTACTGCAACACATGTTAATGTGCAATATAATCAGGGCTCGAAAAACCCACTCGTCTGCTCGTCTGTGACGAGCAGACGGTGGAGCACGACGAGAAGCTTCCTGGCCGGCCGTTGTAATTACACGGCCGGCCGGGAGCTTTACAGTCAAGCGATCGAGCATCTCGAGAGACGCTCGATCGCTTGTATCAGAAGCTGTCACTGCCGTTGCCGGTCCCGAGATCCGCTGTACCCGATGCGGCCGGGACCGGCACGGCTCTGTGACAGGGGATCAGAGGGAGTTCAGTACACGAACTCCCTTTGATCTCCTCTCAGTCCCCAAATGCAGGAAGTGATGTATGTTACATCACTTCCTGCATTCAGTGTCACTCTCCAGCTAGAGAAGCTGATGAAGCTGATCTGTGCTTCATCAGCTTCTCTGGAGGTCCCTAGGTGACATTAGGGGTCTTGGAGACCCCTGATGTCTCCATAAAGAGGACCTGTCATGTAAATTGGCTATCCCATAGGGGGCTTCTTAGCCCCCCATGTAATAGCAATAAAGTTGTATGTAAAAAAAAAAAAAGTAATACAAAAATGAAAGATTGATAAAAAAAATCATAACATTTATTTTTTTAAACATTTTGAAAGTGAAATCCCATTATTTGCAAGTGAAATCCCATTATTTCCTATGGGCATGGTTCTCACTTGGGCGTATTTCAGCGTGTCGAAATGTGCTGAAAAACGCCCTATGCCCAAAGAAGTACAGGAGCTTCTTTGGGGTGTATTTCCGCGCGTATCCATCAGGATACAGCCGGATAGCCCTTGTAAACGCGCGTTTGCCGCACGTTTTGTGGGCTGCATATCGAGGTTAAAACATGCACCGCAAAACGCGCGTCATACATGCATATTTAATGCACAGCCAAGGTCTGAATACGACCTAAGTATGTTTACCCATTTAAAAAAGTGTCAGATCGTTTGTAAAAAAAAATGTCAAGGGGTACATGACTTAACGCGGACCTTAACCCACTTTCACTAAATATCACATCAGCGTACAGCTCTGCATGCTGATATGAAATCATCTTACATTCATTAGCTAAACATATTTTTATTTTACTTACAATTTCTTTTTTTCTACTTCCTAATCCACTTTGGCACAAATGATGTAATCGTGGCCAAGTATTGCATCCTGGGAAGGTTACATCAGCAGAGCATTGCTGGGAAATCTCATCTGTAATCTCACAAGATCTCAGGGAAAGACATTTTTCCTCCCCTGAGATGATGTGCATGGTCACATGTCCTAGTCACATGTGCCAGAGTTCCTGGAAGTAAAGGGAGATACATTATTTTGCCCTTAGTAAAAATAGCTACTGTGAGAAGAATAAGGAGGAAAATAGAAATAAGGTATGCAAAGAATACAAAGCCGCAATTATCTAGAAGTATCTAATTATAGATTGCGATCACTAAACATTTCTAAAGTTGTTTTTGTTGTTATTTTGAAGATATTGGCAAAGGTCCTCTATAAGGTGTCCCGCATGGAGAGTACACTGTAAACACTAATTTTCATAAAGGAATTCGTATTGTAATATGGTGCTTCATCAATCAAAGCTTCATAGTGATTGGCTTCCCAGGCTTACTGATTGTTCCTTCTTTTGGGAATCCTTTAGAGATGAAGTCCATTTTTAAGAGGTTTGTTATAGCTATTGCATAATGATGGAATACTGCTACTATATGTATGAACGAGTGATTACAATCGTGCTATACGATGTGCACATGACTAATTAATTTCTACAGCTGTACCCCAACCTCTAACACCAAGTGACTGCCTTTCTACTGCAACACTATTAATTTATTCTCATTATAGGATGTGCCGCCTGGTAGGCTGCCAACATTTTTGGTCAAGCTTCAGTCAACCTATTTGATAAAAGGAATTATTCTGAGAAGCATGTGTAGTCATGTGATTATTTCTGCAGTGAGCACTGCCAGGGTCACAAATGTGCTTTTTCTCTCTAGAGGAAACTCTACTTAATGCAGAAATATAATGTACATGTTATCTCTGCCTATACCTCTTCCTGTCCTGGCTCTTCCAAAGTTCAGTCATCTGTACACGGCTGTGGGGTCTACATATAAAGGCTCACAACGCTCTGCTCCATTTTTCTCCAAAATGATTAGTGATGACGTTGGCTGCTTCCATCCAGTAGGTCTCTCCTTTTAGATTACTCCAGTATTTTGACTGTTTATCAGTTGACATTCATCATATTTATAAACTGGGGAAATTGTAGGATAGCAAAAAAAAAAATATTGTATCAGCATAACACTATGACATTGGTGTACACAATAATTTGCATGACAAATTTAGGTGGACCCTCTATTGGCCTCCATCCTGTGCTGGAGGGCTCTCACAGGAGCACAAGCTCTAGAAGTGACCAACCTTCCCCAGAGCTCTTAATTGTGAGGATGGGTTTGGCTGCATTAGCTCAACCTGTCCCTGTACGTCAGGGGTCACCAAATTGTGAGGCTGAATCATCGTCAGGTTCAGGAACAGGTAAGGACAGGCAGTGGAAAAGCATAATCAAAGAATACGGGTGTAACCACTGGTAACAGATTCGAAGCAATAATCAGGTGTCCAAACTAGAATGATGACCAAGGTAGCAGAACTGAGTAATTACTGGTGAATTCCCAAACTCAAAGCAATAAAATCCTTTGCTCAGTTAATCAGTGTTCTCATACAGACTTAAAACGGACCTTTACCCATATCTTTAAAAGAACAACAAACACACCATTTAGAAATGTTTAGTAATGACAACCTACAAACACTTGATAATTGCCGACTTTGTATTCTTTGCATACCTTATTTCTCTTTTCTTTCCCAGTCTTCTGACAGTGGTTATGTTAACTAAGGGCAGATTACTAGCTCTCCTTTTACTTCCTGGACCTCTGGCACATGTGACTGTGACATGTGGCCATGCACATCATCTCAAGGTAGGAAAATGCCTTTCCCTGAAATCTCATTAGATTACAGATGAGATTTCCCAGCAATACTCTGCTGATGTATCCTTCCCAAGATGCAATGCTTTGGCACATTACATAATTTGTACCAGAACTGGACCAGGAAGTAGATGAACTCTATTTGTAATTAAATAAAAAACAAGTTTGTTTAACTAATGAATGTAAGATGATTTTGAATCAGTATGCAAAGCTTCAAGCTGCTGTGATTGTTAGTGAAAGGGGGTAAAGGTCCACTTTAAAAGTGAACTACAGGCACCTAAAATACCATTCAAATAAGTTATGTAATCCTTAATATACAATTTCCTGTATTTTTAGTGCAGCTACCATAGGTATCTCAATCTTTTTATATTTTAGTTACCCAAAATTCCATACAAAGGAATACTCAGACTGGGAGAAGAAGTGTCAGTGCACCAATGAGACTCAGGTCTCAGTCAAACTGTGAGATACATACTGTAGGAGGAGATAAGAGTGATGACCTCAGTAATGTCGTGCAGCTCCTTCATTGTCCAATCCATTGTGTGGTGATTAACTTAATCTAAGAAAAAAATAATTTATTGAACCTTAACAGGTCTTAGATGTGGTGGCTGCATTAGTTTTATTTTTTTTAAAGTTATTTTAACTTGAAGATCCTGCCACT